TTGGCAAGGACCGCCGGCAGGAGAGTAGTCGGCGGGACCTCCAACAGCACAGGACATAGGGTTGGCAGGACCCCCGGCAGAAGAGTAGTCGGCGGGACCCCCAACGGGACAGGACATAGGATTGGCAAGACCCCCGGCAGAAGAGTAGTCGGCGGGACCCCCAATGGGACAGGACATGGAGTTGGCAAGACCCCCGGCAGGAGAGTAGTCGGCGGGACCTCCAACAGCACAGGACATAGGGTTGGCAGGACCCCCGGCAGAAGAGTAGTCGGCGGGACCTCCAACGGCACAGGACATAGGGTTGGCAGGACCCCCGGCAGAAGAATAGTCGGCGGGACCTCCAACGGGACAGGACATAGGGTTGGCAAGACCCCCGGCAGAAGAGTAGTCGGCGGGATCTCCAACGGCACAGGACATAGGGTTGGCAGGACCCCCGGCAGAAGAGTAGTCGGCGGGACCTCCAACGGTACAGGACATGGGGTAGGCGTCGGCCGTAGAGCCAACAGGACACGGGGGGCTGGCGTCGGCCGGAGAGCCAACAGGAGACGAGGTGCTGGAGTCGGCCGGACCACCGACAGGACACGAGGGGCTGGAGTGGGCCGAACCACTGACAAAACACGGGGGGCTGGCGTCGGCCGGGGAGCCAGTACTGGAGCCGAAACTGGAGTCGGGACCATGGCTGCTGGGACCGGAACAGAGGCCGGAACCATGGCTGCTGGGGCCAGAACTGGGGCTGGAACCATGGCTGTATGGGCCGGTTCTGGAGCCGGAACCATGGCTGTGTGGGCCGGTTCTGGAGCCGGAACCATGGCTGCTGGAGCCAGAACTGGGGCTGGAACCATGGCTGCTGGGGCCAGAACTGGGGCTGGAACCATGGCTGCTGGGGCCAGAACTGGGGCTGGAACCATGGCTGCTGGGGCCAGAACTGGGGCTGGAACCATGGCTGCTGGGGCCACGGCTGGAATCCTGGCCTTGCGTCTCCTAGAGACCTTTTGGAGGCTCCGTGGACCTCCTAAGGCAAGGCGGGATCCCAAGAAGGGGTTTGAGACTTGAGGCTGGCACTCAGGGCTGCTAGTAAAAAGTCTTAGCTTCTCAGGCAACAAGCTCCTAAGCCAGGGCTTGCTGTCAACCTCCCTGCGTGCCTCGTTAAGGGCAGCCTCTTTGGCCTCTCTGGATGAGGCCCTCCTCCAGTCATTGAAAATGCATTCCAGATTGTATTTAAGCTCATAAAGCTCTTGGCTAAATGAAAAAACTGCTGGGTCCATACTGGTCTGTTCGTACTGTCAGGTTTGGGGAAATAGGACCCAAGTGCAGTTCAAAAATACAAAAAGGTTTGTTAACAAAAAGCGGGCTTTATTATCAAAAGCTGAAGGCATGAAAAAACAAGAAACTAATAAACAGAAACAAAACCGGGGAACACGACAGACAGGAACAAACTTACAGACGGGAACAGGCAGGAGACACGGACAAGCATAGACGACAGGTAGCAGGGACATGAAATGACGACGAACAGACATGGAGCACAGTGCTCCTCTCCAACTTTGCCCATTTTCATATTTTGTACATATTTATTTTACTTTTGCCGTTTTACTTTTAACATGGTTCGCAACATGCTAGCCGACCGCACCTACTCTGCCATACAATATAGCAGAGAGGAACTTCTTCAATTGCGAAACTTTGTGGACAAAAATAACCCTCCGACAGACAATGGAGATTCACCATGGCTACCTGTTGCTGTTCTACCTGAGAGACGCAAGAAGAAAACAAAACGCGGGTGCCGGGCCGGGCTGCTGGTCAGACTGAGGAAACGAGAGAATCGACCCCCTATTCCGAGTATTCTTCTGGCTAATGTTCAATCCATTGAAAATAAGCTAGATGAACTCAGAAGCCGGATTGCTTTTCAACGGGACATTAAGAACTGTAACGTGGTAATTCTCACTGAGACTTGGCTCAACCCCGCTATCCCGGACTCCGCCATTGTCCCTGATGGATTCTCTATTTTTCGTCAGGACCGGACTGCAAACTCGGGGAAAAGTAAGGGAGGCGGTGTGTGTGTAATGACTAACAACAACTGGTGCTCAGATGTGAAGATTATTTCATCGGACTGTTCCGCACATCTAGAGCACCTCATGATCTCATGTCGGGCCTTCCATCTGCCGAGGGAATTCACATCTGTTGTGATAACAGCAGTGTATGTCCCCCCGCAGCCACTCGCCGACAACAACACGGCACTCGATCAGCTGTTTGGGATTATTGATAAGACCGAGACTTCACGGCCAGATGCGGCGTTCGTTGTGGCCGGAGATTTCAACACCGCCAACATGAAGAAGGTTTTACCAAAATATTACCAACACATCAACTGCCCGACGCGCCGGGGAAACATATTGGACCATGTTTATTCCCCTTTCCGGAATGGATATAAGGCTCTCCCTCGCCCTCCCTTCGGCAAATCAGACCATATCTCACTACTGTTGTTGCCTGCGTACAAGCAGAAACTTAAAAGGGACAGACCGATTACAAAGACAGTACAGCGATGGAGCGAGGAGTCAGATTCAGCACTGCAGGATTGCTTTGCATCTACGGATTGGAGTGTGTTTGAGGACAATAACATCAACACACACACGGACACTGTCATCTGCTACATTGGGAAATGCATCGATGACGTGGTACCGAAGGTTTCTGTACGGACATTCCCAAATCAAAAGCCCTGGTTAAACTCCGATGTGCGCGGCAAGCTGAAAGCGCGCACTCTCGCGCACAGAGCGGGGGATTTGGAGGAGTACAGGAAGTCTAGGTATGATCTCCGGAGAGCAATTAAAAATGCAAAGAGACAGTACAAAGAGAAGGTGGAATCTGACTTCAAAGGCTGTAACACTAGGAATATGTGGGCGGGACTAAGGACAATGACTGACTACAAAGGAGCAGCGGGGGGTGCTGCGGGAGTGTCTGCGTGCGCATCTCTCCCAGATGAGCTGAACAGTTTTTTTGCACGCTTTGAGAGCAGCCAGGCTGTGGAGGTACAGATGGACCAGGAGCTACACTGCCCTTTTGTTTTAAATAGGGCAGATGTGTGTAAATCCTTTAAAAGGGTTAACCCACACAAGGCTCCTGGACCTGATGGCATCCCTGGCCGTGTTCTCAGGGTGTGTGCAGTTCAGCTGGCAGAGGTGTTCACAGACATCTTCAACAGGTCCCTGCTGCAGTCTGTAGTCCCCACATGCTTCAAACATTCCACTATCGTTCCTGTCCCGAAAAAGACAATCATCACCTGCCCCAACGACTACCGCCCAGTAGCACTCACCTCCACCGTAATGAAGTGCTTTGAGCGGTTAGTCAAATCATTCATCACCTCCTCCCTCCCTGAATCTCTGGACCCCCTGCAGTTTGCCTACAGAGCAAACAGGTCCACAGACGACGCCATAGCCCTCACCCTCCACACTGCCCTCTCACACCTGGACCCGAAGAACAGGAACACATATGTGAGAATGCTGTTCATTGACTACAGTTCAGCATTCAATACCATTGTGCCCTCCAAGCTGGCCATCAAGCTCAGAGACCTCGGGCTCAACAGCGCCCTCTATGACTGGATCCTGAACTTCCTGACGGGCAGACCCCAGGCAGTGCGGGTGGGAAACATCACATCCTCCACCCTGATCCTCAACACCGGTGCCCCTCAAGGCTGCGTGCTCAGCCCTCTCCTCTACTCCCTGTTCACCCACGACTGCGTGGCCACACACAGCTCCAACACCATCGTGAAGTTTGCTGATGACACGACCGTCATCGGCCAGATCACAGACGATGACGAGACGGCGTACAGAGAGGAGGTCGAAAACCTGACATCTTGGTGCCAGGATAACAACCTCCATCTCAACATCAGCAAAACAAAGGAGCTGATTGTGGATTACAGGAAGCAGCAGGGAGAGGGACACGCCCCCATCGCCATCAATGGGACTACGGTGGAGAGAGTCAAAAGCTTCAGGTTCCTTGGGGTCCACATCACTGAGGACCTGACATGGTCTCTTCACACCACCACCATCACCAAGAAAGCTCGACAGCGGCTCTTCTTCCTCCGCAGGTTGAGGAGGTTCAAAATGGATTCCAGGATACTCTGCAACTTCTACAGGTGCACGATAGAGAGTATCCTGACTGGCAGCATGACGGCCTGGTACGGCAGCTGCACCGACCTCGATCGTAAGGCTTTACAGAGGGTGGTGAAAACTGCACAGCACATCACCAGGACGGAGCTGCCATCCATGGAGGACCTTTACTCCCAGCGGCTCAGGAAGAAATCACTACGGATTATCAAAGACCCCCATCACCCCAGCCACAAACTGTTCTTTCTGTTGCCGTCTGGCAGACGTTACCGCAGCATCCTGGCAAGGACAAGAAGATTCTGAGACAGTTTCTTCCCGCGGGCAGTGAGACTGTTAAAAAATTGAACTGTTGAAACAACTTCAAACATTCATCTGCTACTCAGTAGTATGTATCTAATACCTAATATATATATATATATCATTCCAATAACTTGTATATAGACTCTATTGCACTATTCCACATCATAACTTTATTTTATTTTATAACTATTATTATTTTTGTATTGCTCTTGCTCTTATTGTTATGATGTTATTATGTTGCATTGTTGGAGAAGCCTGTGACATAAGATTTTCAACTACATAATTACTCTGTAGCTATGTCAGATTGACAATAAAGAACCTTGAACCTTGAACTTTGAAGACAAGACTAAATACACAGAAGGGTAATCACAGGACAAGACACAGCTGGACAGGGGAGGCAGAAACACAAGGGCAACAGGTGAACACAATGAGGCACAATCAGACACACTAGGGAAACTAACGACGGGAAGGCAAACACAGGGAGTAGGATCAGACAAGACACAAGGAGGAAAACATTTCAAAACAAAACAGGAAACCAGAGACAGAAAAAGACAAGACACAACACAACACAGACAGATCGTGACAATTACAGTAGTGCAATAACACCTCAACTTAACTGTTGAGTGCTGTCACCCTATTATAAATATAAATACATACAGGATATGTGTATCTGTTGCCTTACTCTTACATTCCCTTTAAGATTCCTTTCAATCACAACTTTCCAGGTTGCTTTTTACCGCAGATATTACACTGGTTTTCAGATGAATATGCCATGTTTAACTGTTGGTTTCTGTGATTAATCCTTTTTGTGTTGTGGGACTGAATTTAAGGCAACCTGAAATGAACCCAGTACGATGACTGGTCATTTTCAGCTCAGTTGCTGCATTTCAAGATCATATGTACAAAAAAAGAAAAAAAATCTCAAAACTTAAGAACCGCTAATCAACCTGTCTGATGATCCATTTCCAGTACTACGTTGCAAGTCATTTAAAACATATTGTATTTGTATGTAAGTGTCATCTCAGGAGTTTATTTTTTGTAATATATTGATTGATTGATTTATATTTTTGAGGCTCCATATTTCTGGTAAAATATATATTGTTTGTTTGTATTGTGTTTTTATTCGTAACACAATACTGCTTTGCATGATCTGGTGACTGATGATGTTTTTTTCTGTACAGATAAAAGTTAATAAAGATGTGGTTCCATCATTCCACTGATTCATTAAATACAATTAATGCTTTTTCTTCTACAATGTTTTATTCTAAGGACCACATAGTAAAGATCGGATTCATTTGTAAGGTTTTTAATTAAGGTTAACTGATTAGAATGAAAGTTTTTAATATGACAAAAGTTTGCAGTTTGTGATTTCACTTCATCAATGTGATTTATATAAATATGCCAGTATTCAACCAACTGCAACATTTATTTTTACATATACGAACAGTATATCTTAAAATATGTCACTGAATCAGCAAAGTTTTTCTGACACTAAGTCTTCCTTGTATTATCTCCACTCAAGTGTTTGTAAGGCATATTCTGTTTGTTTTTTTCTTCATTGAGCTTTATCTCATGTACACCGTCAGGTCTAATTGCATCACATGATGTTGAGCTCGTGATTGTATGCCATGAGGTCATCACATCTTTTATTTGACAATAGCAAAGGTTGTAATGCTAAATGGGGAACTTCCCTTTTTAGTTGCCGCCCTCCAGAGCTTTCACAGTGTAAGGTCAACGACGGCTCTATTTGTTCTTTGAGTCTGCTTAATATTTCATTGATATATTTAGAAGGGAAAGCATAGAAATCAAACTTTATTTTCTATGGTTTGATTGATATGTTGCTGTCACAATTCACCCCATTAGTTGATTTCTAATAGTTACATTTTGGGTTCTACATCTTGATCAAAGCAGAAAAACGTGAAAGTCCTTAAATGTCAACAGGCCAACTTCAAGGAGTTGCTAACATAGGTCAAACATTCAGAATTACAGTTACATTTCATTGGTTGTGTGCTACTCAATGGAGAGATGGATTAAACTACTCATCCTGGCCAGCAGGTGTCACTACGTACATATAGAAATACTCTGTGGGACCCTTCAATTGGGCTGACTGGGCACGGCTCAATGTTTCCAGTCGTTGCAAAAGCTGCTACCTTAGGTACTTCAGAGAGTCTCTCTCACTGACTTTACTGCCATCAACATCTTATCTCTTTTTGCCATTAAAATATGTTTTATTTTTATTCAAATCCTTTAAAATATCTGGATTTATGTTGTTATTTAATTGCCTAGCCTTTAATTTGCCTTGCATATGCGGGTTAAAAACAACCACTAATGTCAATATGGGCACTATTATATGGTTACTATAACTATTATATAGTGATAATAGGAAAGGTTATACGGTGGCAAATGCAATGATATAAATAATCATTGTTATTGTATTGTTTTGTTCAGAATCAACAAACAGCATTGAACTCACCTTCATGCACACATACATACAAAAACACATCTTTAATATGCAATGAAAAACACCTGAGTTTGTCAGGTAAATTAAACTTTCAATATGTGCCACTTAAGGTGTTTCACTATGTCAGAAACCTCGTCATTTACACTTGAAGCTTTGAAAGGACTTTCATTGTAAAGAAAAAGACGTAAAGAAATACAGTGATGATGAGAAACAAATTCACAGATCCTCTCGCTCAAACTGTCTGTACAATGTACAAGATAGACGGAGGAAACACACTCTGTTTCTGGGTCCATGGGACGATCAGTCAGCAGAGATATGTGGGAACGTCTCCATCAAACTGCTCATACGGGACATGGACGTGGGTGGCTAACGCACCAAAGCAAGCCTATACTAGCCAAACCCTGTTTGTCTTGGTGCTCATCCCAACAAGCTGAAGCCAAGCTGAGAGCAAGCAAAAACTTAAGTTTGCATAAAGGACCAATTAGTACTTTGGTTAAACATTTTAACCCCAAGACAAGGTTCTTAAATCACCTATATGTTTGAGGATGGGAAGAAAAGCTAACCAATTTGGCCTATTTCCTATTATCAAGAGCCAACACTGATTTTAAATAACATTTTTGTCACTACAGATTGATTTTGAACAGTTTGCTCTCCCCTCTGGCCTGAAAACAATGTCTGTTCCACTTTATAATCATTACGATGTCAAGACAGTAGTAGGAGAGTCTTGCACAGATAAACAAGCACTTACATGATAAACCATTTTAGATACAAGATCCTTCAACTGTATAAACAATCAGAAGTTATTGCTCAGGATTGCTTGCTGTTTTTTGTAACAGGAAAACTCTCCAGGGCTTCAAGTGTTTTAGTTAAGTGCATATAAATTATGTGTGGGGAGGACTGTTACACATGTGAGAGAGATTCTGATGTGTGTGTCTACACTTTGTGTGAACAAGCTAAGTTTGCCAGAGCTGTCTTATTTCAGTTCACAGAGTTATGATAGATCAAAGGGAGCTGAAATCAAGCTGACTGCTGCACAGTGGAAGTAGCATGATTGAACTACACTGACATCTTGCTGCTTTAAAAAGGTGATCACACAAGACTGTCAAATCTGTCTAAATCACTAAAGAATGCAGAACGTCATAGGCTGGTGAAGTGACACAGACATAAAGCTTGAAAAAATGGCAACAGATACACTGTTTTGTGTTGTTTCATTTGCAGAGCGTATCGATAAAGGGAAACATTTGTTTAAAACCAAAGCAAGCCAGAATCAGTCAAACAAATAGCTAGTAGATGTTAGTGTATGGTTTAGGGTTAGAAATAGCGTGAGGTTGAGGTTGGGGTTAGTCTGAGGTCTGTAAACCTACAGATATAGGCCTACAGAACAGAGGCTATTTGTTGTGCATAGTTTTGCACATGATACAGTAGTAAATACTGTATGAGCTTAAATTGTTGACTGTCGGGATTTGAAAAATATATATATTTATATTTTTAAGAAACTTCTACCAGGTCAACTTTTAATTGTGACTTATTTAAGATTGTGTTAACCATAGAGAACAGGCTGTGCTCTACCAAAGTCAGTGAACACTTATAGTTTACTTGACTTCTGACTGATAGCCAGTGGTGTAGTGTTTTTTCTTAGCAATACTAAGACACATTGGGGGAAATACACCTTAGAGAAATTATTTACTTTATTGACAAGAATTCGCTCAGAGTAATAAACTAGCTTATTAAAAGGCGGGAATGGTGGAAGCAGTAACTTTAACTCTTTGTAGCTTGCCTGGCAACAGCTCATGGCCCATTACACAACTGGCTTTATTCGGTTATTCTACTGTTATTAACAAAACAAAATAGAAAGATGTTGATTGTTGAGCTCTTGGAAAACTGTTAGGCAGATAATGTTACCCTGGCTTTCAGACAGTTAATTAGCAAACATAAGTTAGCCAGCTGACTTCAGCTACTTTTAGCCTCATTATTAGCATGATTTCGACACACAATATTTTGAGATAAATAATGTTTGTCATTTTCATTCTCATTGTGAGATACTAGCCTATCATTATTTTGAAAAAGTTTCCCATTATTATCACTTACAAGAGTTGCTTTTTTCTGTTTTCCTATTGTTTTAGTTTATTTATTATATTATAATGTTAGCTTAACATTAGCTAATGCTCAAAAGAAAGATATAAGCTTTCCCCAACATGTTGAACTACTCCTTTATTAAATTGGCAATACACAAATCAGTGTCCAACATTAAACAAGCGATCAAACAAATAAATTATATATCTTTTACTTCTGATTTGAGCTTACGCCAAAGAGTGGACAGAACAGCTAATGGGTAATTTGATGCCTCTGCTGTGTCCTCAGGATCCCGGGCGAGTGGTGTTCGACAGGAGGGAGGAGAGAGAGAGGCAGACACCAGCAGCAGCAGCAGCAGCAGAAACCTCGACAGCACACAGACCTCAACACCCAGACACCACGCTCCTGTGCAAGCCACGAGACGACGCCACGGTTTTCTAAGGCTGACACGCAAATCCACGCAAAAGAAGACGGCGATCCACCTTCCAAAAGCAAGTGGGCTCTTCTGCTCCAAAACAGAGAACAGGTCAGTCACCTTCCGCTCGGTTCACAGTTTGCAGCGATGCGAGTTTCGTCACTACTGCTTGATTGCTAACGCAACGCACACTTACAAAGTTATTTAAACTGCTAACACAGAGTCTGCATTGGATATATTACACAATCGGGAAGTTATATTAAGTAATCAGGCTTGTTTTCTGGGAACAAAACATTATTTGAATTCAAATGTACTGACAGAGAGAAAGTTAAAACAGGAAACCCTTTGATTTATCCATCCTCAAATTCTCCTCTTTCACTGAGACTGCCGGATGTCTTATGTCCATGTGGACACGTTTTGGCTGTGTGACAGACCATCAGTGGCATAGTGGGTGGTGATGGTGATGGTGATGGTGATGGTGATGGTGGGCGGTCACAGGACTGACAGTCTGGCACACAGTCAGGTGCTGATCCACAGTGAGTCTGAGTGCCACAGTGAAAGTGTGAGTTTGACATGCAAACACCAGGCAGAGATTTAAACGATCAAAGCGGTCACAACTTCTCAGGTGAGTAACTACAAGAGACTTTGTATGTGTCACTTACACTTTTAAAAAAGTTATTAGTCAATTCTAATGGGTGACTCTTTTTGACTTTTTATATATTCTTCTCTAATGCCTTTATTCTCAGTATCATGTGAGGGATGTTTGGATATTGCACAACACCCAAAGCAGTTCTATTTTTTTTTAACTGACTGGAAAATCTTGGTCGTGAGTCGTGACTCAGCAAAATTGTGGACACATGCTCAGGCCAACACTGATTTGGCTGGTAGGTAGCTGATGTTAACTTGTGTTATCTTTATTATAATATGATCATGGCACCTGGAAACAGAACTGGTCAACTTGTTGAACAAGACTCAGAATGTCATTGTCAACAGTGAGTGTAGTTGTTCAGCAAATCTGGCAAAGTCTCTCTTTGTTTCGATCTTCATGTCAATAATGTGATTGTGAGAGCAATCAGAGAGAATTTTCAGAGACCCAATTTGCTATTCAAAACTAATGTTTTACATATTAAAAGGAATTTAAGCTTTTTTTTCAGACTAGTTAAATATATTATATTATAATATTATTTTTGCTTACCTTCGAGGCAGCCATTAGTGTAAAACTATTTTCCTTTGCTATAGATTAAAATCATAATTTGCTTGGGATATATACGTATGCTTTAATTTTTGTCAAAGCTATGTTGTTATGTTGTAGCTGAAAGTCCATACGACACTACATAACCGCACAATAATACATCTTATAAGTTCACTGTCATCTCCTAATACTCAGTGATACGTGGAAATCACCACTGTAAAAAATAGAGCATATATTAAAAAGAAAACACAAAAAACCTAACAGAAAGGCAGATAAACAATATCTAAGCAGAAATAAGTCTCTTTCTTTAAAAGCCAACCAGATTGTAGAAAAAAATTGAAATAAACAGAAAGTCATACATCCTTTTTTAAAGATAAACCCATAATTATTAAGGAACAGGCATATTACCGATCAAACTGATGCAATAAACTTGGAGGCGTGTATCAGAATGATGAAATGAATTTTATAGGATTAGGAAATAGGAAAACATTTAAATGTCATCTCTCATTTAACTTGGCATTGTAAAGGAGAAGACATATGATACATTTTTGCTTGAGAAATCTCTATTTTGGAGAAGTTATAAAAGGTCATTCTTATAAATAACAATGCTCATCCAGACTAAGATCATAATATACCTTTCACATTGATAACTAGTTTTCTTAACTTAAAAATAGTGTTGTGCATAGTTGTTTGCTATGTAATGATGACCTGTGTATGAGTTTCTTTGAGTCTGACTGCCTGACTGAGTGTGCTGATACAGCACATTGTGTCAGTGAGTTTTAGCTTTTCAAGTTATACAATTCCTAAAGAGATGTGTCTGAGTGAATGACTGAGACAGATTTGGACTTTGCTCTGTTGTCATAAATTAAAGGAGTGCCTCGAGATACCATGCGATGTTTATGTTGTCCCTCGCACGGCATGAAAGTCATATTTAACTCTCTGCAGACAACAGACTTACACAAAAGCTTTGTTTGACTTGGTGTAAAGACCAAATTCAAAGACGCCTCCACACCAGTATTTATTGGTTTGTGAAAATCCATGTTTATTTTAAAATACTAACAAAAAAGGGTCAAGGTCGTCTACAATGCAGTTGATTATAGTTGCTTTAATAAATATATACCTCTGTTAGAGCTGATCAGTATCACTGAATACAAAAAGAAGGACATTTTTTAACTGCACATTTGAATCTGCATAAATAATATAAAAAGAGAGTGACACACTCCGGTTCAGCCCACATAAACGTAACCACTGTTGCCTCCACACCACCGACATCCTGGTTTGTTTACAATAATTCAGCTTTTCTCATTGTTACTGTGAACTTTTCCAAAAGAAGATTGTATTTTATGAGAGGACATTGAGACCATGTTTGACAGAATTTTATGCTCATTGGTTGTTTTGTTTGTTTTTAAATTGGGTGTAATTATTAACTCTAAGGCCATTCAGTTCACTGTCTACTCACAGCGATATTTTATGCTGGATTTAATCATCAAACTAAATTTGCCAAACAAGCTTGGTGTTTTCTGATGAAAAATATCTGTACTATTAGCAAATAATTTTTATCTCAATCTATGTCAAATCACAATGTCCTGTCATCTTCTCAGTACGTCTTACAAACCATCTTTGAGGATCTATGTACAGTTTTTAATATAATCAACCAATCAAAATAAATGTTATATTTTAAATAAAAAAATGTACCTCAGGGGGCTTTACAATCTGTACAGGAAACAACCTTAGACCCTCGCAGCATACAAGGAAAATTGAATTAACTTCATCTAAAAAAAACTAACCTCAGGGAGAGGAATCCCTCTCCCTGATGGACAGACGTGTAACACATGTCGTGCGTTAAGAAAAAACATGATTATAAAATTACAATATAAACAAACGAAACAGCAACAATTATAATATGAACTCAGATAAAAATGATTTTTGCCAATAAAAAAACAATAACTGCCTTAAAATAAGACTAATAAAAGCAATAGCAACGGAAGATCATGATTACATTTTTTAAATTTCTGCAGTATTATAGTAAGATCCTAACTTTTGAAAAAGTTTTTTCCTTCCTTTTTTAATATACTGTTACACCAGTTGAACATTTTGTCTCTTTCTTAACAAAACGTTGTGGAGATAACCTGCTTCAGTCTCTTAACACCTGCCGTGAGAAGTGACTCATGCCAGGGCAAAGTCAAAGCATGTTTTCAGTTCTCACCTCTTTACGCTTTGTTGTACGTAGATGCAGTCTGGGTCTGGATGAGACATGAATTATAATGAAATGCGTGGTGCTTGTGCCATATCCACACAGCATACATTTACAAAAACATCAATTTTTCCAACACTGTCACTTATAAGTGTTAGTATTTACATCCTTTTGCATGCAATGCCGTTTGCTTGACAAACACTGGTTGGATGTTGTATAGCAGTGTCGTGAAGAAGCACATTTTGTCCTCTTTAAAGTAAAGTTTCAGCAACAAAAGTAAGAAATGTTTCTGTTCGGTTGCCGTTTTCTTGAAAAAATACATAATAAAGGCTGTTTTAACTTATTGCACCCTTCCCTTGCACTAGCTTTGAATTTTGAACATTAAAATAAGGACTGCAACTATCAATTATTTTCATTGACTTGGAATAAACTGTAGGTGTACTGCAACTGTGTCACGTTTGAGGCAAGTGAAGTGCAAAAAATAAATATATATTTAAAAGACGAGACTGTGATGGTGTCAGAATCAGTGTTTTCATTTCTAAACAATTACCTTAGTAAATACAATTATATCATCAGAGATATAAATGGTGGCCAACAAATGAATGTAAACTTAAAGACCAAGATCATTTTAGCTCCTTTCGTGCTTAAGCGTATATCTTCACAAATATTTCCCTTTTTAATTTGAATCTTAATTAATTGAGTTACTATAATGAAAAATAAGTTTTTTTGGTAATTCACATGCGCATACAAAAACGCAAAGACCCACGCCGATCCTAATACAACAAATAAATATATACTCTCATACAATTATGAGATGAGTTTAATTTTCCGATGAACTTTAACATAGATATTAGTCAACAGACAGTAGGGATATCTAGCAACCTTTGTCCTAATTTCTCTTTTAGAAAGATGTGGGAGCAAACGGCAGCTCCTCAGGTCAGGACCTCGGCCAAGAGGGAATTTCAGACTGACTCAGACTCTACGTGGGTTTACTGGATGTGGCACTGGTTGAGACATCACTAGTTCACGTCTTGCTAAGAGTGATGTATGATGTTTTTTATTTGCCCCCTCAATTACATTGGCTAATAAATGTTAAATGTCAAAGGACAGAAGAAATGAAACGGGAACAAACACGGTTAATAAATATAGCTTTCCCTCTTTCTCTTCTTTTCATCACATGTGTCCTTGTAATTAAGACTCCTTTATACTTGAATTCAGTTTACTTAACAGCAGACAAAAATACTTTGATTTAAATCCTTATTACATGCTTTGATGTATTTGTTTTCTGAAAATGCCAAAAAAACAACAACCTCAACCCTCTAAACTCTTTACAAGCAGATTATCCTCTCACTGTTACTACTGACACTTTTACCCATGCACAGCCACCCTGACATTTCTCAACAGAGCGGTATGCGCAGAGTTAAGCAAATCGGAATCATTCTGACCCGACATCCAACTGACTTTACCCATTTAGTCTAATTTAAAGTCTGATTTAGCCTATATATCAATAGAGACACTCACTGATGGAGAATTCACAGAGTGCATTGGTGTGTTTATGAGGCCGATGCTAAACCGAAAGAAGACAAACAGCCTAAAGTGTAGACAAGTAACTTACAACACCAGCACACCAGACAATTTCTGTTATTGGCCCCTTGAATTGATGTTATCAAGGGCCAATGCCGAAATTGCTCGACAAATTCAAGGAACGTTAAGAGACTGGGTTGTTATTGGGCATATGATGAACCGGCTATGTAACCGCAACGTTTATGCATCCTGTCCAGCCTCCTTACCCCTCGCCCAAACCTGTATTTCTGATAGTTGAGAACACTTCTGACATCTTCAGCTGTGTGCTATATGGTGAATGGTTTAGTGGACTCCATTTATATATTCATTTATAAGGCGCTTTATTCAGTATCCTTTACCTTCCTCAAAGCACTTTACATTTACAAGTCATCATTCACCCATTCACACCCTGTTTATGCAGAAGCAGGGTGCCATACAAGGTGCCACTACTCAAGGAAGCTCAAATGTAAATGTTTGCCATACCAGCGGGAGCAATTTGGTGTTAAGTATCTATCTGTCATATAGCTTTACTAAGCTAATTACAACCTTCATTGAAACCTTCCTCTTTTGGCAATTCTGAATCAATCTCTTTTGCATAGACCTTTCCTTGCACACGTGATTACACAATGTTCTGTGGATGAGTGTCACGTCATGTGTTGTTTTGTTATTGTTCAGT